TGCCTTGCCTCTCCTCCCTCCCTCCCTTCCACCTCCTCTGACATCCCAAGGAAGCTGGGTTGGCAGCTGACTGTGCAGGGAGCCAGGACAAAGAATCAGACCTGGCAGTTGGGTGACAGCGTAGATCTCAGCTGTGGCAGGCCCCCATTAAGTAGCTTTCGGGTGAGCTGTCTCTGGTTCATGAAGCAGCCTTTTCCTACTTTTCATGTCTTTTCCCTAGAGCAAATTGGAGAAAGCCAAACCAACTGCCTCCTGTCACCAGCCTTGTTCCAGACTCACGTGATCCCTGTGCTGCTGAAACTATTTGAGGTTCATGAAGAGCATGTTCGAATGGTGTTGCTGTCTCACATTCATGCCTATGCAGAACTGTTCTCTCGGGAAGAATTGAAAAACATCATATTGCCACAGGTTAAGGACAGCAAAACCATAAGGGTTTTCTACTGCTAGGATCAGTTCTGGTGCAGTTGAAAGCTAAGATCTTGTAGTTTGGGCAACGCCCTGTGGGCAACCTCTGTGTGAGCTTTCTCCCAGCTGCCCCCTTCAGCAAAAGCATCCTTTATAGATTCCAATTTTAGCAGCCCCCACTGCCAACCTCACTTGTGCTGCTCAATTCATATGTGGAGTATTCCCATCCTTAAACCCAGCAGTCAGGACTGTTGTTTCTGGTCTGGGGGATACCCTTTTCTTCCTGTCCCACCCTCCCTTGCCAGCTGAGCTAGTGTTGCCCAACGCTGGTGTGCAGCACCCCTTTCTATGCCAGTCCTAAGCTTTACACCCCTTCCTGCAGCACTGAGGCCCTCTGTTACACCTCACCTGGGCTGACACCTGGCAGCCTCATAACAAGAGTGTTTCTGTTTCACACTGTTCCACAACTCGAGTGGCTCTTGACCAGAGAGGATGGATCAATCTAAGCTGAGGGTGCCTTTGTCAAGAGGGCTCAGTGTTCACTAGGTGTTGGGATCGGCCATCCTCTTTTTATTTGTAACAAAGAGCGGAAGGCTGTTTTTTTTTTGCTGCAGAATCATGTCCAGTTTCTGCTTACTAAGAGTTGTGGGGAGATCTTAGAACTCAAATGTGCTACGAATGTAACATGTAACGGGAGAAGAGCAAAAAAGCAGAATTTTCTGTTCTTAGTAACATTCTCATGTTCTTCATGTAGGTATTGCTGGGCCTTCGAGATACCAGTGACTCTATTGTTGCAATAACACTGCACAGCTTAGCAGTTCTCGTCTCCCTGCTTGGACCTGAAGTAGTTATAGGTGGTGAAAGAACTAAGATTTTCAAAAGCTCTGCACCAAGTTTCATGAAAACTGCTGATCTCTCTCCAGAAGGTAAACGATGTACTTAGTCCTTGGGATTCCCATCATACTGTTTCTGCTTGTCCTGCCCGTTCTGTCCAAGCAACGTGGGCAGAATTTCTTGGGTCATTAACCTCTAGTGTTGACAGGTTTAACTGAAAAGCTAATTTGCAGATAAGCTTTAATTCTAAATTAGGTGCTAACTGTTTTCAGATACAAAACTAGCATCATAAAACAGTTATAGAAAAGTACCTTAAATGCAGGAAATATAGGAAAGAACACTTATACCTTTTTTTCCATTTAAAAATCTCTGTAAGCAAGAGATACTTAGCGCGTGTTTGTCTTTGTGGAAAAACTATAGTGCTCTTTATGCACTTACTTACTGATAGTGGTTTAATAGTCCCTCTGTCCTTCATGTTTTTAAAATGAGTAAATCTCATCTTCTTCCCCCTAATTTCTGTTCATAGATTGGAAAAGGAATACGAACTTCCCTATTTTCTCAGCTCTCAGGAGGCTTTTCAGCTAATCCAAATGAAGAAAGCAGTCTCTCTGCATCTGCTAGCTAACTTGGAGCCGAGCGTACTAAGGCAAAGCTTTTCTGGATATTGAAATTAAAAATGCTAACAATGGGAGGGAAAAATCAGCTTTTGTTCTACTTTAGACTTTAAGAATAGATACCAAATGAAATGCATGACAGAGAACAACTTAAGTATAAATGTTTTGTCCTGATTCTGTATGTACTGACAAATACCACCCTCCATTAAAATCTGTGGATGGTTCATTGCACTATTTTCCTTTACATTATTTTAATAGACTATACTAAAGGAAGACCTTCAGATTTCGTGCTGGAAACTGGTTTATTTTTCAAAAGAATAATGTTAGCTCTGATTTAAATATTGAGGAAAAAGGAAAAAAAGCTTTGTCCTGAACTGTGAGTAGCAACCTGCAAAAACAGCACTAAAGGCTGAACAAGTGAGGCTCAACACGCTGTTTGTTTAAGCCCCTGAAAGTATGTACCTTCTAACAAGGGTGCTTTGGGCTGGGGTGGGGGTTCTGTTTATTTATTGCAGTCCTTTTCAGCGCTGCAGTTCACGTTTTTCTGGCTATGCTGAAAACCCCTAGCACAGGCAGGCCCAGTTGGCTTACAACAAAGGCAAACCACATGGACGTAAATACACTTGACAGAGCACTGCGCTAAGCCATCCTATGTAAAGCTCTGTTCCTTTCTAATTCTGACTAGGCTACAGCAGTGGTAATGGGGTCTTACACAGCCTCGGCCAGTGTCGGCAAATCATTGCCATCACTGACAGCGTGCACCTCCCAGCAGTGAACTGCAGCTAGGTGTTTGCCAAGTCCATCACCACTGGCCTAGAAAAACAAATCTGCCTGGTGCAGATGCAGAGTATGAGCCTTTATTGCCCACTGTGGGCACCTCAGGGTATGATACAAGCAAGGCTTTTAATACAGCCTTCAGGTAGCGCGTTAACCTCTTGTTCCTATGAGCTGCTTTGCTCATGTTCAAGCATAAAAGGAGGTTTGTGTAACAGCATGGGTTTGCTTATGCTTTGCGTTCTTGTGACTATCAGCTCTATGCTTCTGCATGAGAGGCGCATAATAGGGGATTTGTGATCCATGCAGTATAGAAGTTGGTATTTTGGATCCAGCCAGGTGACAGACTTTTTTTTTTTTTAGCATCTGTTCAGATCATAAGAAGTTTGTCTGTTGTGTATTTCTTGAAAGACTGTATCAACAGAAACTGACCCTTAATTCACAGTCGCTTAAACTTTGTACTGGCAAGAGCTGCAGACTGTAGGAAGAGAGGAGCATTGTTTCATACATAGATCAAGAGGTGCAGCTGTTGCATTGCAATTCCTATCTTTATTCACTGTTGCTTGCCTCTCTTTTAGGTAAGAGTGTTCCAATGCTGTGGGCAGTTTCAACTAAAAGTGACAACAGACCTTATGGAGTTGGTGTCCTTTGTTTCGTTTTGTTCTTGCAGACTCCCCCACTCATGTTGTAAGCAATCGGAGAAATCCAGCTTCTCGGCCCTTGAAGAATACTTCTAGTTTGTTCCCCATCTCTGGAAATGTACCTGTCAAGAAACATTCCGTGCAACAAGACAATCCACTGTCTTTAAAGACAGGTAAAACTTTGCCTTAGCGGTTTTCTTTTTAGAACTGAAGTGTCACAGAAATGAAAAACTGCTTGACATACTGTTGATCTTCCTCATGTGCTGATCCAAAAGGGATTCAGTGAAGCAGGAAAGGTAAAAGTGAAGGAACAAGACTGTGACCCTTGGTTTCCTAGGGAATAGTTATTTGGGACTCTGGTACACACCCATATTGCTGGCTGTCTTGAGTCTTCCATGTTCCCTTACCACAGGTTCTCAGCTGTGGTCTTTCACCTGTCCCACAGCTTGGTGGACATGCTACTGCAGGCTGTTGCCTCTCTCGTTAGTGATGGGCTGGCTGCTTCTCTGACCTCAAAAGCCCTATTTTCAGGGCCTTTTCTGAGTCATCTAACCTAATGCTTATCAGTAGTTAGTTTTTATTACCCAGGTGTTCTGATGTTAATAACCTTCCTTCACAAGCAGGAAGATGGCTGTACTGTCTAATATGAGAATAGCTTAGCATTGAAGCGTATCTCCAGTGAACATCACTTTTTGAACTGGCTGTCCACATGAGGTGCTACCTGCAATGTCAAGCATTTCAGAGTTGTAGGCACAACTGTCTCCATGCTTGCCCTCCTGAAATGAGTATGTAATACCCTTGTCTTCCATAGGTCAGCAAGACACTCAGCTCCCCCTGAATGGAGTTCCTGGAAGCATTAACACACTAGGGAACAGCAGGAGCTCTTTGACTGCCTCTGAAAAGCCAGCAGAGGAGTGGCCAGACTGGAGCGAGTCAGAGGAGACAGACACGGAGAAAACTGTGAACATCCAAATTCAGCCCCGAGAGTCAGAGGGCAGAACAGGACCTTACTTCACTGAGCATGATGTTGATGAGAAGCCGTGGGATGACTTTGAACCTAGCAGCCCTAGTCCTGAGCTGTCCTCAGGAACCTGCCTCACTGTGACACAAGCTGATGCAGTTCAAATGCAGAGGCCTCTGCCAGGGATCCATCCACTGAGCAAAGAATTTAAAAGCCTCAAACTGAGTTCTCCCCCAAAGTCCTGCCCTGGGAGTAGCTGGAGCAATGACAAGTGGGACCACCAGGAACAACTGGGAGAAACTTTTCAGGAAAGGTCAAAGTCTTCATCAGAGTCTGGCCTAGGAGAAGAGTTCACTATCCAAGTGAGGCGAAAACCAGTGCAAGACCCTGAGCTGGACTGGTTTGCTGACATGATCCCAGACATTAAACCATCTTCAGCAATCTTGATTTTACCTGAAGTGAGGACAGACGCAGTTGTTCCCAGTCTCTCTGGTGCAGTATTCAGCAGAGAAGGTGCCTCCCAGAATATGCTGTTTTCATCCAAATTTGCAGCAATTGATGTTACTGAGGTAAGAATGTATGGGTAGCGGGGTTTAAGTGACTAGACCTTTGAGAGGATTCCTAAAGCATGTAGATGCTACAACATACTGCTCTGGCATTAGCGGGCTCCTTAATCAATAGTCGTTAACCTGAGGAAGTAAGAGCAACGCATGACTGTGCAGTTGAGTATTTACTTGTCAGTACAAGATACTGAGCTCTGAATGATGTGTTTTTAAGGCACCAGGTGATTTAGTGGGCTGTGTTGCAGCAGCAAGACAGCCATGTTAAGAAACACTGAGGGAGCAGATTTAACTTGTGCACTATACTGAAGGCATGAACTAAGGCGTTTTTACTTTATCCCAGATGCTAGAACCCAACATTACTTTAAGGAGAGTCTTGGTTTGTCCGATAGGGGAGGTAAAACAAAGCTGGCCCCAAGCACAAACAGAAGAGGGCTTTCAAGCATAGAGGATGTTTTGGGCTCAGTGTTGCTCCCTGGGCTCTTCTAGAAAAACCTACTAGCACTGTAAGCAAAAGGAAAAGAAAATCAGAACCTGTGTCTTACTGAGAAAAGGAAGAAATAGCTGAGACATTTCTCCATTTCAGCAAGCCAGCAGGCGTTTAAAACTACCCTTTTGAGTGAGACAGTAAATCCTTCTAGCCCACCTAAGATACTCAAAGGGCTGCTTCCTTTTGCTAGGAGGAGAGCTAGCACTCCCATCACTGCTAGCTGAACACATAACTCCGTTAGGGAATAGGTGTTGTTTTCAAGCTCTTTTTGCTAACTCCCACTGTGGTTGGTCTCTTGAGGTTGAGAGGAGCCTTAGCTATGAACTGAAGCTGTTTGTTTACAAGGTTTGAAAAGTGCACAATTGTGTTTTTTTTTTTTTTTTAAAGCAGCATTGTCTTGACATCAATCCCATTTTTCAGCTCGCTCACTGTAGTGCAACATGCTGGTGTAATCAAAGGGCAAGCTATGTTGGTGAGACAATTCTTCCTTTAGTTTAAACTAGTTTGTTTTAGGAAGGAAGGATAGCAAATTCCCTGTTACTTTGCTTTTTATGTTTAAGATCTTTCCTTTTAGTGTAAGAAGCTCTTTAAGCTAGGAAGCTGTAAACAGTGGTACCTCTTGCTTGGTCTTACTGAGGGGCTTTCAGCTGCCTCAGCTTTCTCTATGAGCGCTGCTTTTGAGAGCCCCAGGCACACCCCTGTGGGGCAAGGAGAGGCTGCCTTTCTCCTGGAGCATTCTGAACAGCCATCTTGCTCTGTCATTTGAAGCCACCCACGGCACTGCCCCAGCTGCTTTGGCCCTTGAATGCCTGACTTTATTTTTGGCTGTGTTAAGTACAGAAGTACAGTGCATGTGCCTTAATGTTGATAACTTCTACATGATTCTAGGCTGAAGCCACAGGCTGGGGTGAAGAAGAAGAGTTGAACTGGGAAGATGATACTAACTGGTAATGGGACTGAAAGAGACAAAAGCTTTATGGCGTGTTGGATTCTGTAAGAGAAGTCATTGCTTCTACAATATCATGGATAAGTACCTCAGCGCTGCTTTAGCTGGAAGGCAGGCACTTGCTGCGGCAGTCAGCAAGATCTCCCATAGGGCCTGATCCCTTCCTTGCAAAGGATGCTCTGTTCTAACCTGTGCCAAAAACTGCAGGGGTGAGGCCTGCACTCAAGCAATATGCCCAGCTGTGGTGCGTGCCACTGCTACTGGAAGGAGGAACAATCTGAATGGTGTGTTGGTGCTGATGTGCTGCTGGAGGATGAGTGGTGTAAGCTATTCTGTTCCAGAAATCATCGCTGCTCTGAAAAACTGATGACAATAAATGAAAGTTACATTCATTTACTTTGTTAATGTGCCATTTTTTTCAGAAAAGCAAAGCCATTAGAAATGGCTCCTTTTAACTTTTTATCTATAAGATGATTTTTAAGATGAATGTACGGTTTACTCAGCATATTTATATCTGTTTATACAGTTCTGTCAGGATGACACAGGAGGTGCTAGGAAACTTGCAGTGAAGGACTGTTGAACAGAAGCTGTTCAAGTACCACATTCATTCTGCTCTTAACTGTGATCAATAAAGATTATTTTTAAAAGATGACCTTACTGTGGAGTGGAATAGCAGCACAGGTATGTTCAGTGAACAGCATGGAGTCTTAAATTGTTATTTTTGAGTGTATTTTAAAATTAATATAAAAACACCTACAGCACTCTCACCTGTACACGACAGGAAGAAGTGTAACAGTAAATTCTACAACAAGTCCAAACATCTTAATCTCCAAGACAGTCTCATTAAATGTTTGCTATCATACAGTATCTTAGAAAAATAAACTATACATTGGCAATATACAAGGTGACAGCTCAGGTGCACAATAGAGTCCATTAAGTGTATTAATCCTTCCAGCTAGTTCCTGTGAAAGACTGTCCACCATCTTGCACATCAGTTCATTTTGGCACATTAACCACCACTTACTTAAAGTACAGTAGAGCATCACCCCGTGTTACAGTTTTTTCCTTCTCCAGCAATCATGGTACAAAGGTATCTCTTTCCTCCAACCAGAGAGCTGAGCTGTTTTAGCATCTTTAAAAGCTGCTGAACACCTTACCGTATACTGTTTCTCAAAGTGGCTATAGCTGTATGTAGAGCCTCCAGTTTCACTGCAAGCCAAGCAGGGGGTGACCCTTTCTGGAGCAGCAGCTTCACAGCCTCCACTGCCCCTTCCATTGTGCCTACTGCTGACTTATATTGCTCCTCAGAGGGTGGGTGACACGCTCTCTTTGCCAGAGGCTGCAGATTTAAACACAAGTAAGACGACATTTATAAGCCTCTACGTAAGTGATTAGTCCTCCTCCAACTGCAAAAGAACCTTAGCTGGAGAAGAACTGTGAGATGCTCCCTTGCCTTGAGAGAGCTCTTCCCAGCTGGCAGGCAGTGCAGATCATTCAGGTTTAACATTAAGGGGCAGGAGGGCACGCAAGCTTTTTTCTTAGCACATGGAGGGCAGCAGGGCAGTCTTGAACCTCTCTAACTACTTCCCAGAACTGACGCATTCCTACAGAAGAGCTCAGATAGTTTAAAGTACACATACCTCTCCTGCTGACTCCAGTTCTCCAGTCTTTTTCAGAAAATGTGCGCTGTAGATGATCCTTTCTCGTTTCACGCGTTCTGTTCGTGCTTCTGTTGTCTCTTCTACCTGCCTCGTCTAGGGAGAAAGCCACAGGAGAGGTAACTAAACGAGGAGGCGTTACCAGCCTTCACAGGTTCAGTTTGTATACCAGAACAAGGGAAACAAATATAACTCATCTTAACTTGCAGTTCGAGTTGAATCTAATTCCTCCCTCACTCTTCTGAGGAGGAGATTGAAGTGGCGGTTAACTGCAGTTTAATGTACAATCAGTAGCTATCAGTTCTTTTGCTAATTATCTGCTTGACAGGAATTGCTTGTCCAGATAGCACTCCCTTGAAGTTTACAGCCTAATAAATAACTAGGAGGAGGTAATTGTTACATTATGAATAAATAACCATCTGCTTTTAATAGATTTTTTTTTAAACCTGCAAGAAAGGAGGACTAAGATGTTTCATACATGTTCATTTAACTTACAGAAACTGATCCAAGAAGAAGGGGGAGGGAAATCACACAAATAGAATGATGGAATCCCAGTCTTTTCAACAGATACTTTCTCCACTTACAAAAATCATCATGCAGTTTAATTTTTGTTCAAGGATGGAAGAGCAAAAGCATTTCTAATCAAATCTGAGAAATACTAGAAGAGCAGTGTGCATAGATACAGGATTTACTAGCCCTGATAATTTAAGCAAATGGAAAAATTCAGCTAGATCCAGTAAACACAGCAATTTATTTTAAACTTACTTATCCATATAACCTGCATGTAGGTGATATAGGTGTAGACGCAGACATCGGCAGATACTACATTAGTGTGCCGCTGAAGCCAAGCTCATCAGTCCTACTTAATATGGCATTAGATGTGTACAACATCAACTAGGAAAACAGTAAAGTAGTTTAACGTCATACCTTAGCCAGAAAACTAACAACTTTGTTCTTAGTTTCTTCAGAATTAAGGCACTGAGGAACAACATCTTCATGGCTTGTTTCCTGTCAAAACCATTGAGTAACAGTTTTTCAGTACGTTCATATTAAGAAAGAAAGAAAGAAAGAAAGAAAGAAAGAAAGATGAAGGAGAAACTGCTTCCCCAACAATCTGGGAAGAATTCTCTGCTGACAGATTGTTTTCAACAACCTTGCTCACTGCAACCAATTTAAGCAACCAATGCTTGGTTTTTCCTCATTTCCACATCCTGAAATCATACATAGTGCATTAGCCCTTATTACTTGTATTCATGTTTAACAGCATCTGTAATGCTAAGGTCCAAACTGTTCAGTGAAGAGTAGCAATCATTTACGACAGAAAAACTTCTGTATGACAAAAGTTAACAGAGCCAAATCTATACATCCAAAGCACTGCTCTGCTTACCTCTGCAAAGTGTGTGAATGCCTCCAGTGCATGCTGATGGATCAGCCACGTCTGGTCAGCTAGCAGAGAAGCAAACAAACTTGACAACTGGGGTACAACTTGCCTCTGAAAGAGAAACAAATACCTAACAGATTTTTCAGGACTTAGTTGTGTATATCTTATCATCATGATTTATTATTAAAAACTCTCTCTGAGGTCATAGGGTAAGTTTGTGAAATTTGAGAGTGCCACTGTCCTGTCTGGCAAAAAAACACTAAGGAAGATGACACATGTTCTATTTTTTTCTTCTTGGGCGTTCCAATCTCAGTCCTGCCTTAACTCTTGAGAAGCAACATGCAAACGAAGGCATCAAGCATCTTACGTGCAGTTAGCGCAAGTGTCTCAATGAAAAATTAAACCACCATTGATCATTAAATACATCTTTAAGATCATTATGCCACAGCAGTCCTCTGAGTATTTAAATAAAAATCACATCTTTTCATCAAAAGACTCAAGATTAAATAAAGCCCTAATTAATGTTTACCTGGGCTTCTTGTGGGATAAACACTTTCCCCATAGAAGACAGAAAATCCAGCATTGCTAGACGAACATGATCTGGAGGATCTAACTGGAAAAGGGAAGACTGCAGTGCAAACACCTGCAGGAATTCCAAATGAAGCTTCATCAAACACAGATTACAGATGAAAACTGTTCTGTCTGATCATTAAACCTGAGGACATTAACTTCAGAATACTGGACACAAAACAAAAGCAGGTATGCTACAGCTTGAATAAAACTGACTAGTATAAACAAAGCCTGTCTTCTGGAGACAAACAAACATGTTTATAGCATATCTATAGATCTGCGCTATTTTACAGAATAACAGGATTCCCAAAAGCAACGTTAACCAAAGTGCCACATGTCTGGATTAAAGACCAGGAAAATAACCAAGGACGAAATAAAGTTAGAAACCTACTTGTGTTAAGGGAAGGCCTGACCATGAAAAAGCTCATTAGAGATCTTCAGTAAATCACAGAGAGCTTGGTTTTCATAAAATAAGTTTCTCACCTGAGTAATCAGTTGAGCACCTAATGTTTGGATGAAAAATTCCAAAAGGTGAAGCAATAAACACAGCGTCTGCTGGAGGCATGGGTCATCTGACACCTTCAACAGTTCATATAGCATTAGTATCACTGCTTTCAGCTCAAGGAACAACTTAACAAAGAATGTAAAATCGCAGTAACATTCCAAAATTCTTAGCCTAACTTCACATGTATAAAACAGCACGTCATAAGCAGCAGAAGAAAAGATTATATATATATTTTGAGGCAGTTGTATTTTACAAGGCCCTTTCCTTATATTTTTTACTAAGAATCTTTCTTATCTGACTCCTTCTCCACTCTTGCCAATCTAAGAAGCTAAACACACAAGGTTACCTAAGCTATTTCTTTTTACTCGTCGGTTGTCAGATGTCTTCTTCACCCCCAGTCTCAGGTTTTTTTTTTTTAAATCTGGAGTATGAGCCATGACAAATCCTTTTTTCTTTACTCCTCCAACTGCAGACATGAACAGTTGGATATTCAGCCAGGAGGAAACCTTTCCCCCTTGTGCTCAAAGATGGGAGGAGGGCTACTAGCTCTGTGAGCTTTCACACGCTAATCTAAATCACCGTGGTTTTTTGTTTTCATTCTAATGAACATTTAAAATAGGCCAAACCTGTAACTGGTATAAACCACAATGAAATATTTCAGGCTTCTTGTTAAGCAAGTCTGAATTGGATAGAGTAGCAAGGAGTCATATATGTAACGTTCAGGAAAATTCAAACTCAGTTCTTCCCAAAGCACATACCTAATACATACACCAGCTGATAGCACGTGGGAAGCACAACTACATTGCACTTTAGGGAAGTGGTCCAACCCAAGTGAAATGATTTAGTAACACACACAACGAAACTGCACAAGCCTCCCAAAGAAAGCATGTTTTCACCATTAGAACAGCAAATTCCCTTACCTGTTTAGCCTGGAGGAAAGTCCAGAACTGACCAAGCACTCCTGAGATAGATGCCTGAAGTTCTCCCTCCAGACTGTCTCCAGCAGAATTACAGGCAGTCAATATGACAGAAAATGCAGTGTTCTGGTAGAAAATAGGGTTACAAAAGTAAGACCAAAAAAACCCTACCTGTCAAACAAACCCAACCCCTAGTGTCATATTAAACTTCTAAAACCATATGTGAGATGGCCAGAAGCCCAATGTGCTTATGTCAGCTGTACAGTACAGTTAATCCACCAGGCTGCTGGCCAGTAAAGCTTCCAAATCAAGGAAAACATGCTTTACCTCTGTGAGAGTTTTACGCTGTGCTATAGTAGTT